GAGTTAACGTTTTAAAAAATTTTGGTTCTGCTCCCAAATACACATGTGGGGTGGGAGTGTATATGTATTTTTCACACTAAAAAAAAAAATTAAATTTCTCGTCCATTGTGAAAGTATTTGTAACATCTACAGATTTTCAAATATTGTAAGAGGCCAGATGCAGTGGTTTATACCTGTAACCCCAGCACTTTGGAAGGTTGATGTGGGAGGATCACTTGAGGGCAAGAGGTTGAGAGCAGCCTGGGGATTAGCAAGATCCCTGTCTCTGCAAAAAATAGAAAAATTAGCCAGGTATGGTGGCATGTGCCTATAGTCCCAACTACTTGGAAGGCTGAGGCAGGAGGATCACTTGAGTTCAGGAGTTTAAGGCTAAAGTGATGCCCCTCCACACCCACCTGGGCAACAGAGTTAGACTCTGCCTCAAAACAAACATACAAACAAGTAAAGTTGTAAAAGCAGATTTAGGGAATCGCTGACCTTGAAGGCACTACTTTTTTCTGAGCAATCCTGTGACCTTACCCTGTACTTCCATTAGGGTTCATTTTCCACTTGCCGTGGTCTGGTTTTTTATTTATTTATTTATTTATTTATTTTTGCAGTTTTTGGCCGGGTCCGGGTTTGAACCCACCGCCTCTGGTATGTGGGGTCGGCGCCCTATTCCTTTGAACCACAGGTGCTGCCCCTGTGGTCTGATTTTGTAAAGAAGAAAACGGTCTTGGGCGGTGCCTGTGGCTCAGTGAGTAGAGTGCCAGTCCCATATACCGAGGGTGGCAGATTCGAACCCAGCCCCAGCCAAACTGCCACAGAAAAATAGCTGGGCTTGGTGGCAGTGGCCTGTAGTCCCAGCTACTCGGGAGGCTGAGGCAAGAGAATCACCTAAGCCCAAGAGCTGGAGGTTGCTATGAGCTGTGATGCCATAACACTCTACCGAGGAGGACAAAATGAGACTCTGTCTCTAAAAAAAAAAAGAAAGAAAGAAAGAAAAGAAGAAAACAGTCTCTTGGGCAGCACCTATGGCTCAAGAAGTAGGGTGCCGGCCCCATATGCCGGGGGGTGGCAGGTTCAAACCTGGTCCTGGCCAAAACTGCAGGAAAAAAAAAGGTCTCTTTTATGCACAGAGATTAAGAACAAGTTTATCTGTAGTCCTGGTAGTCAGCTGACTGGGAACCAAGCCACAATTGCTTGTAAAACTGACCCTACATCTTCTTGATCTGATGGTTCAATACCTGGAAATCTCTGGGGCTTTCAATGCTGGTAAAGTTCAATTGCTTATCTGATCTGTGGTTTGGACAGTAACAGGGAACTCCATTTCAGTTTAGGAGAGGGTTGGTTTAAGAGTCTCTATGATAGTTACGTGTGCTCCCTCCTCCAGCTAACATGCCATTAGTTGATTTTTGTGGTATTTCTTTTCTTTATCCCAAACCTAAAGTGAATCAGATTATGACTAATTTCCAAAGTTGCAATGTTTTCAGATAAGTGGAGACATTGAGATGTTGCAATACCATGATTGAGAATGACCGTGTTCTAAGGCATCAAGGCTTTTAAACTCTCACATTCTTCTGTGGATTTTGAACATGATTTGATTGGCTGGGGCTGGAAGAATCTGCAGTAAAGCCTGAAGGGAGATAAAAACTTAGTAGGTCATGGGTCATCGAGCTTCAAACCGAAAAGGCGTCATCCAACTCAGTTCCAGAGAGATTTAATGACTTGCCCAGAGCCCAACCAGAGTACTTATCTGTGGACCCCATCTCCTCATCTTTCAGCTTCTTCTATTCCCATCCCTAAATCTGTTAATATGAATCAGACTCATGAAGATACCGAGGAATTATGGTTTTAAAACAAAAAGCCCTTGGAGTTTCTAGAGGATAATTAACAAACAGGTTTTGGAGTAATATGGACACAGAGTAGGCCAAGGAGTGAGAAGGTGGCCTGAGCAGGGTAGTATGGTCCCAGGCTCTTAGGAAATTACTCTGGGGACCCTGCCATGTCAGCCCTCAGGAAATACAGCAAAGAACCGTGCCGTGTTCTTCTGGTAAACTCCTTTTAGGCAGGAGTTTAATGGTCCTGAGGGCTCCAGTGCCTTGTCTGTAACAGGACCCTTCTTTCTATATATAAGCAGGAAGAGTCCAGCCCACAGGTGGGGTTGAAATAAGTGAGTGAGCGAGTAGGAGTTGGAAATGGAAGAGGCCACCAACAGGAAGAGGTGTGAGGCAGGGCATGCCTGGAAGGGATTGGCAAATCCTTCAAGTCCTTGCCAGCCAGCTTGAGGACTGTGAGACTGTGAGTCAGTGGCTTACCTGTCCCATAAGTTTAGCACCCCCAGGATTTCCGCCCATTGTCCTGAAGAGAACCCCAGCACTGCCTGCAGGTATGGGGGAGATGGAGCCCCTGGGAGATTAACAGTGGGGGAAGGTGCAGGTTAATTCCTCAGGCCTTCTGAGGCAGCCTCCTGGTCAGGAGGCCTCGGACAGGGACACTAAGAAGGCAACAGATCTGGCTTTGAGGTTTGTCCTGAAGGCCACATTTCATCACAGAAATAATCTTAATTATCAAACTCTCCCATGAGGTTTTGGTGTGTTATGCTCATTTTCAGCTGTAAACCAGCTAAGCAACATCAGTATTAGCGTAAATTAAAACCTGGAGAATACTCACCTAGGGTGTGAACACAGGTCTGTGGCTGGTATGCCAGACACTTGGCCCCAGGGGAGCTGTGAGGTTTCCTCCTCCAGATCTGCTTTAGGACAGTATGAACAGCACGCCTTCCTGTTCTCTCTTTCGGCTGCATAGGTAACAAATACAACATACAAGATCCTGATTTTTGTGGCGCTCTGAGTGCATGCCTGGGCCTCTGCCGCCGCCCCAGCCCCACCTCGTCCCATTCCCCCCTTGGCTTTCTCAGTCCGGCCACACTGGTCTGCTGGGTCCTCAATCACAGTAAATTAGCTCCAGTCTCAGGGACTCTGCACACACTACACACTGATCCTTCTGCCCAGAAGATTTTTCTTTTTTGCAGTTTTTGGCCAGGGCTGGGTTTGAACCCACCACCTCTGGTATATGGGGCCAGCGCCCCACTCCTTGAGCCACAGGCACCACCCCTTTTCCTTCCTGCCTTTCTATTAGATCTTAACTCAAACATCACTTCTTCCCAGAGCCTAACCCAGAGTACTTATCTGTGGACCCCATCTCCTCATCTTTCAGCTTCTTCTACTCCCAGCCTTAAATCCGTTCAGGAAAACCTCCTTTGACACTGTGAACCCCTCCCCTACACCTCAGTCACAAGCCCAGGTCCTCTTCTCCTGTTATGCTGACGTGGTTGCCCATATGTCTGTCTCAGCTCTTACCACAATTTGTCATTCTGTGTTTGTGTAATTCTGTGACCCTGTGGTCCTGTATTAGACTATAAGCCCCATGAGGGCAGGCATCAGATCTCCTTTATAGTGGTTAGAACCTACCATGCGACATAATTCTTGATTAGTAATAACTGATACTTATATGGTTCCCTGGCATACTAGGTACTGTTTTAAGAACTTCACATGTATCACCTCATTTAACTTGACCTTCTTCAAAAGCATGTGCTTTCTTATTATAGGCTTTTTTTGAGACAGTCTCACTTTGTCACCCTGGGTAGAGTGCCATGGCATCGTAACTCACAGCAACCTCGAACTCTTGGACTCGAGATCCTGTAGCCTCGGTTTTTCATTTTTAGTAGACAGAGGGTTTTGCTCTTGTTTAGGCCGGCCTTGAACTCATGAGCTTAAGCGATCCACCCACTTAGCCTCCCAGAGTGCTAGGATTACAGGCATGAGCCATCGGGCCCGGCCTTTATTATAGTCTTAAAAAGCTCGTAGAATTGTTCTAGGGACACAGAGGACTTTGTGGCAAAGATTTAAGTAAAGGGCAAAATGTTCACTAGAAAAATAAAGTTATTAGCTAGATACCAGAGAGATCTGGCCCTAGCTGGCAAATTTTGAACTCTGAAATACTTGGGGTCATTAATTATATATGTTTGTTTTATTCATAATTTGTAACATTCTGGATTACCAAAAGTAATGCTAATGATGGTTGAAGTTACAAGAAATTCTTTGACCTTATGTTAAAACAGCCACTGTTCCATATCATTCAGTGCCAGTATCCAGTGTTCAAAGGAACCTAAAAACAAACACGCCCACTACTGTACCAGTTTTTAGAAAAGCCTCTCTCATCGTTGGTCGGTAGCACATTTTACAGCTAAATGTATAGGGTCAGCACAATCATAGCTTTGGTAGCTAGATATTATTAGCCAGTTCAGCTAGAAGACAACTAACAAGTAGCTGTCTAAATATTTCAATTTAGCTCTTGCTTAGGCCATTCTGAACACCTTCTTTGGGGCCAGAGGGGAAATATATTAAGGCCTTGTCTTCTGATGTCCATTCCCAGAGGTTTCCTTTAGCTAGGTTAAGCCTCCACCTCCAGCACTGATGGTCTTCCTGTCTACCAGACCTCAGTCTGCATGTAGCTGACTCCAGTTGAACTAGAGTTGCATTTTACTGGTTTATTGCATTTTGCATTTACCAGTTTACTACAAGGATATTATTATAAAGGATACAAATGAAGATATGTGTAGGGCAAGGTAGGGGGAAGGGGTGCAGAGCTTCTGTGCCTTCTTGGGGTACAGTATCCTCTGGGAACCTCCATGTGATTAGCTATCTGGAAGCTCTTCCCAACAACTTTTTAGAGTAGGTATTATTATCCCCATTTTATGGGTTAGAAACCCAAGGCACAGGCTCGGCACCTGTAGCACAGTGGTTACGGCGCCAGCCACATACAACAAAGCTGGTAGGTTCGAACTCAGCCCGGGCCAGCTAAGTGACAATGACAACTGCAACAAAAAAATAGCCAGGCATTGTGGCGGGCACCTGTAGTCCCACCTACTTGGGAGGCTGAGGCAAGAGTATTGCTTAAGCCCAGGAGTTTGAAGTTGCTGTGAGCTGTGACGCCACCGCACACTACTGAGGGCAACATAGTGACTCTGTGTCAAAAAAGAAAGAGAAAAAGAAACCCAAGACACAGAGAGGTAATGACTTCCCAAGGTGTTCTGGCTCCAGAATATGCCCTTTTAACCACCATGTTACACTGGTGGTTACACTCATCTGGTGAGTTTCCAGATGACTGAAATACAATCCCAGAACTTAAATGAAGCTTAACATTTAATAGAACTTTCTTTAGCAGTTATACTCTTCTTCTTAAACATCACAAAGCAAGATTTTAACTTTCTCTTAATTGTTTTTCAGATCGTCTCCGTCATCACCAGCTATTATATTATTGCTCTCTGCCCATGAGAGTAGGAGATGGGGAGCAATTGAGGTTCGAGGCAGAGTGGATCATCAGGTTTTTGAGTCTTGTTTACTTCCTGATGATTTCTTTGGCCTCCGCCAATTTCTTTTATTAAATGATCTTTAATATTTATGTAACTCTTATGTTTGAAGTTCTTAATATTTATTTTGATTTCTTAGTGTTTAGAGACATGTTGCTCTTCCTCAGTTTTCAAAAGAAAAAACAAATTTGAAAGCTTAGCCACCTTGTCCCACAATCCACATGCCCATGTACCCACTTGTGGGACCTGGAGAAGTTGACCTCCAGGACTGGATGATCTCCAGACCAGGCAGGAGCTTGACCAGGACAGTGACTTTAGGAAGAGAGATTACTGGGAACATGGAGCCTGTTGGCATCTGAGCGTATCCTATAAAAGCATGTCCCCTCCCCTGTTCCTGCCCTGGACAGCCATTTTCCCCTTTTCTGGAGGGGGTTCTGTTCTTTGATGTCTGGAAGGGCCTCTTTGTTGAGCCCAAAGCTTTGATATCTCCGTCATGGTAATTCTTTCCTGCTTCTGTTTCCTGCCAACCACTTGATAAGCTGGAAAAAGCAGCGTTGTTCGATCTTGACCAGTTCCTCTTGCTCTGCTCCTGTTGCTCCTCAATTTTTGAGCCACCACTCTATAGGTTTGGTCGTGCCAACGGCCTTCCAGGCAGTTTCTTATCCTTTCTTATCTCTGTCCACATGCTTGAGAGTTGCATAAAGATGGCCTCTTGGATGAGCCTAGAAAATAAAAAGCTATGCTGGAATTATGGAAATCTGATGACATGAGATTTTTTCCACATGCAAAAGTCAGTATCTGAATATGGTGTCATCCCCCGTGCATCTTATTCTCACTAGTGTAATAGTCATAGCTGCTGCATGAGGCCCTTTAGTTTATGGTTGGTCATTAAAATGGTCCTTGCTGTTCAGAGGAGTTGCCCTGTGCTGATCAGTAATGCGTGTTTCCTTGACAATGACATTAAGAACGGGGTTCATCAAAGAAATTGCCAGGAACTGGCATCATCCTCATCTTCATCGAAGGACACGTTTATAAGTCATTAATCTGGACTGTTCAGGAGATCTATTGTACAACATGGTGACTGTGATCAATAACAATGTATTATGTACTTGTTAAGAGTGGATTTTAAATGTTCTCATCACCAAAAAAAAGGTAAGAATCTGAAGGAATGGATATGTTAATGAGCTTGACTTGGCTGTTCCCCTATGTATACGTGTACATATATCAAAACATGTTGTGCACATGTGCACACATTTTATATGTCAATTTAAAAGAAAATAAAAATTAACAAAATTTTAAAAACTACACTGGAGATATATGTATCGTAGGCATTTTTTTATGATGGTTAAAGCTGTGACCTTTGACTTTTTCTGGGGTTATTCCTAACCACTTAGATCAACAGTGGGATCTCAGGAATTTTCATACATTTTTTAAAGACCCCACCCTCTGTAATTTGCAGTGCCATTTGGTATATTGGGCGTCTACAGAGAATCTACAAATTATGTTTTAGCCACATCTAAAAAATCCAACCCTCATATCAGAACAGAATGCTGGTTTGTATCTACCCCAGCAGGATTCAAAGGAGAGCCTCAGGCCTGAAGTAATTTAAGGTTCTGGCTCTTGGAGAACCGTGATTTAAAGTAGTGAAATTATAATTTGGCGTAGGGGGCAGCAGACCAGATGGGGAGGTGGAGACCTTGGTTTCAGTCCTGTGTCTCTGGTTAACTATCGGGGGAGCCTTGGGCAAGCCACTTCACCTCTTTGGGGCTTGATTGCCTTTTTCATCTCAAAAATTACATATCCTAGAAGCCACAGACAGTCCCTACTATGTGATGTGTGTCCTCACATAACTAGCCAACTGCAGAGAGGAAGGTCAGATGGTGGCCTCCGGGTCAGGAGGGAAGTGAGTGATCCTCAAACGTACTTCAAACAAGTGGGGGTCCCGGCTGGTTGAAGTCAGTCTGACTGGGCATCTCAACTAGAGGCGTATTTCACAGTGTTTAATTTATACCCTAAAGCTTGGCAACATCTGGCAAGCGTTGTGGCAATCATGTCATAAATACAGTTGTTTGTAGGTACTTTTTATTTAACTAGAGCAGTTATCTGCTTTCTGCTTAACTCCTCTCTCCTCACCCCCTTCAAGAAATCTCTAACCAAGTGTGAAGAGCAAAATTGACAGTCTCAGATTAGTTGCAGTTATCAGGACTGAAGAACTTAATATCAGATTGAGTGGATTTTTTTCCCCCTGGGGTGTTCACATGAGAGCTTCTTGATAATAGGTACTGCCCATGAGTATATGTACTCAAATGGATAAAATGCGGCCTTTCGTAAGGCTGGTAGTGCCCTTTTGAATTCATAGTTTTAAGTCTGACCTTTATTAGTTTGTTTAGACTGTTTCTCCATTAAGAAATTGAGCCTAATAAGTCTATTATTACTGGACCTAATTGATGCTATTTCCCTTTAGTGAAGACAAAATATAGTGTGGCTGCCTGTATTCTGAAGCTGAACCACTAAATGGTTGTGTAACCCTGAGTTTTAGTTTTCATATCTAAAATGTGGGATTTGGCCTAGCTCCCAAGGATCCTCAGGGACCTTAGGGATTTGCTATCACGCTGAGAACAAGGGCTTGTTTTTCTGACTGTGGAGTGGAAAATGATTTCATATAGCACCTTTCATGCCCTGATATATTTCCTCCTCTCATGGTGGCAATGAAAGTTGATGGCAGAGGGACCATGAGGACAAACAGAACTGCAATTGATTGAACTTTGACATTCAACCTGGGACTGGTTTGGGGGGAAATATATTCATTCACCTGTTGTGAAATTAGCACACCTTGGTGATCAGAAATACAGTGGCCCTTTTTCTTTTTTGAGACAGAGTATTACTTGGTTACCCTCCATAGAGTGCTGTGTTGTCATAGCTCACAGCAATCTCAAATTCTTGGGCTTGAGCGATTCTCTTGCTTCAGCTACCTGAGAAGCTGGTACTACAGGTGCCCACCACAACACCTGGCTGGTTTTTTTTTTTTTTTTTTTTTTAGAGAAGGGGTTTCTCTCTGGCTTAGGGTGGTTTCAAACTCATGAGCTCAAGCAATCTACCCATCTCAGTCTCCCAGAGTACATGAGCCACTGCGCCCAGCCCCCCCACCCCTTTTTTTAATCAGATCCTAGACTGAAGGTTTGTAACTGTCTTGGGTGGTGGTTAATTTCACCACACACCAGACTTGCCACAAATACTAGTTTAACTCTCTTAGCTGCTGAGTTTGGAAACCACACAATGCCGTTTCAGTTAGGCCTTGCCCTTTACTGCATCCCAGCTAGACACTTGACTGTCATCCAAAGTAAATGTCATGGTTACCTTTATTTACTTAATATCAGGAAATGTAACAGCCGATAGACTGGCTGGAAGGAACTGTATGGTTGATGGATTACTACTGACCTACCCGCAGGTAAACGAAGTATAACAGAATTTGAAGTGACTTAGTGGACTGAGATCCTTAAAACATAGACACAGTTAAATAAGAAAAGTCTTTTGGTATCGCCAATGTTTTAATTCTGTTGTTAATCTTTGAATAGAAGGCTAAGAATAGTAAGATTTCTGTGTCACTGTGTTTAGGTGGTTGTACAAAAATCTATATTTGCAGATAAGTACTTTGCTGTTGGGATGAGATGGGAGTCAGGGAACAGTGTTTAGTTAGAATAAAAATCTTTTTTGTATGTCTGTCAAATCAGGCTTTACTTAGGATACCTTCCAAGGTAGTCCTTTGGGGAGCTGAGTTCAGCCCACTCCCCTGATCAGTATGAGGTTTTACCCTGGAGACTTGCTTTTTTTTTTTTTAAACTTTATTCAAATTAATATGAGAGTACAATTTTTAGCTTACATTGTTCTCACTTCCAGGGTAAAGTTCCCTTTGGAGAAGAGCCCCTCACCCAGGGGGCATGTTATACACCCTCACAATGTGCACATTCAGTGAGATCCCGTCTCATGCCCTCACTCCTTCTGCCATACGTTCCCCTCCTCACCCCTCCCGCTTCCTTCTACCCCCAAATTGGCCTATATTAGTGTTTTATTGTTCTTTGAACATATAATTGTTTATATACTGATTTCATATTAGTATGGAGTACACTGGATCTTTATTTTTCCATTCTTGCCATACTTTACTAAGAAGGATGTATTTCAACTCCATCCAGGTAGAGACTTGCTTTCTTAATCTCTGTAAAAAGCTTGATGTAATGAATTGAGTCTTTGTGCTCAAGGGGCTTTGGTATATTTTTGATGTTTTTCAAAAATTACCAGGCAGCCTTCTACAATGTAATCGCGTGGCCTTAGAAAACGGTACTCTACTGGGTACTTTTATAAGGCAACTAGATCACAAATAGCCAGGCTTTGTTTGAGGTGATAGTCTGAGGTAGATAATATTGCTGCAAGTAAAATAATTATAAACAGACATGTCTTTTCTTTTTTTAAATATCTTTTAGTGCCTGTCAGAGGTCTGTGTTAACAGATTACGGTTTTGAGATATTCGTGCCTGGTGGATCGACACTACTGCACAGATTGATTTGATCCCCCTCCCTTTATTTTTTCTTTTGTCACAAGCCCCGTAGGACCCGTATTCTGTTATGGCATGTCCACAGTGTCTTACTGTTATCTCTTAAAATCAGCTAATTCTTCCTGTTGCTTTCAGCCAATTACAGGCAGCAGAATAACCCAGTCTGTTTGCCATTGCTTGTTACTAACCTCTGCCTTCTTATCCGTCAGACACCACTTCTCTCGCCACATCCACACACAAGTGCAGTCTTATCTTGCCACCCCTTTTAGGGGCTTTTAGGCTCATCTCCTGTGGAGCGTGCCCTTCCTGCCTCCCAGCATTATTGCTAAGATTAATAATTACAATGCATTTGAAATCTGCTGTTACTCATTCAGCAACATACAGCTTTAATTGTTCTCAAGATTTTGTATTTCCTAACTAGGCAGTAAAACAAAATACCTTGGAAATCATTCTTATGTAATCCTTCCCCCACTTGCATACATACCTATTTCAAGTCTTACCTGTAATACTGTAATGTATATTCATTAACCAGCCAAAATGAACCTTAAGTCAGTTTGCCTTTGCTTTACCTCTGTGGCCAACTGGACAGAGGATTTGAACCCTGGCAAGGGGCCCCTGCTCTGCAAAAGACAGCCTGGTTGATGGCGGGATGTAGCTTCCAGGAAGCAGGGTACACCCGGTATTGTATAGTGACATTCCATTGGAAACACATGCCAGTACCCTTGCTAGCATTACACAAGCATTGTATTTTTAGTTTGGAGGAATGGTTTTCTTAACTTTAAATAAATAAAACCAAGGTTAGTATTATGCAGTATAATAGGAATTCAATGAAAATAGAGGACTATTAATAAAACAAAAGCACATAAGCCAGGCGCGGTGGTTCACGCCTGTAATCCCAGCACTTGGGAGGCCGAGGCAGGTGGATTGCCTAAGCCCTTAGGTGCAAGACCAGACCAAGCAAGAGTGAGACCCCATCTCTAAAAAAGTAACCAGGCGTTGTGGTGGGGTGCCTATACTCCCAGCTTCTTGGGAGGCTAAGGCAAGAGGATCGCTTGAACCCAAGAGTTTGAGGTTGTTGTAAGCTAAGATGCCACAGCACTCTACCGCAGGTGATCAAGTGAGACTCTGTCTCAAAAAAAAAGCACATAGAAAAAAAAACCAACCTCTGAGCAAATCCTAGAAGTTGATCTGATACTCCTAAAAGAAAAATAATGTTGTTATTGGCCAGATTATTATATAAATATTGTCTGTTGAGGTGGAATTGGGAAGGGGAGAAGGTGCCTAGAAAAATTTTTTAGCTTTTTTGATTATCTTATCCTGGTAAATTAACACTATGGATTTGCCGTATAAATTTAACTTATAGAGATGCACAGTTGGGTTGGACTTGATCAGTTTACATGCCACCTGGGAAGTGTATGGCTTGCTCATCCTCAATGATGGGTTTTCTGTGTGTGTGTTCACGTGTGCTTGTGTACATATATGCCCTTAGTTTTATTTCTGCAGAGATAGCTTGCTCTAGTTTTGCAAATGGAACAGATTATAATTTTTCTCAAGTGTAGATCACTTTGGAAAACTGGCTGTGAGATGTGGGTGCACATGGCAC